TGTACGCATATTATATGCTTAATCCCTGCAATTGTGTATTATATACGCATAATATTTGTACCCATTTTCCTGATGTTATTGGTTCTTTTGCATAAGAATGATAATTTCCTGTAGTTGAGTGATAATATAATGCTAGAAATTGGACAAGATGGATTTTAGAATTAATTAGTGCAAAGGCAAATCCTCCTTTAATTGCTGGATATATTGATGAGATATTTGCAATGGTGATAGCTGGTATAGAAGGTGATTCTGCATTAAATTTAAAATTAGTAACATGTTTTTGAGAAAATTTTATGAGATTAAATATTCTTACCAGAACTATTTAAATTTAGTTGGTTCAATCCAATATCTTGAGTTATTTGATTTATATTGTCTAATCTCTTTCTAATTCCCCATCTTATTAAACGTGATTTTGGTTGATTGTCATTACTATTGAGATTGCTAACTGCTTGTGACACTAAACTACTTATTGTAGATGGATTTGTATTTGTACTTGAATTTTGGTTGGTTAATTGGATATTTGCTTTGATTCGCAACATATTTTTAGAAGTGTATGCTTTGTTTTGAGTACAATATTCTATTAAAGCTGAAAAATTAACACTTCCATCATTATTGGTTATTTCTATATCCTTCAATAATATATCTTCTGATAAATTATTTCCAACAAAATGATTATTAACCAAAACCATATTATCTGAAATACTTCTAATATCATCATCTATATTGTATTGTCTGTAGATGAAGCAATAGGACCACTATATTTAATACCATCAAGAAATTGTTTAAAATTGCGCATATTTTCATGACATATTCTGGGATCATTTAATGATAAATCTGAATTTGTTCTAAGAAGTCTATAAAAATAAAAAGTAAAATTTAATATTTAAGATAAAAGCTTGATATTTATTTAAATTTACTTAGATATTTACCTGAGATTTCTTAATGACCTTTCTGCAAGATTTTCTTGAAACAAATGATATGCTTGTGGACTAGTACTTGATAATATTGCTAAAAAAATTGTAAATTGGGAAGGATATTTTATATTTTGTAGTGACTTTCCTTCTGAGATTCTTGTAGAAATCTGTACAAAAAAATTCACATAGACCAATAAATACTTTTTTTTTATCAAAAGCACCATTGTTTCCCAAAGTAGCCAAATGTTCCAAAAATTCTTTGTATTATCTTCAGGCTTATTAAGATAACTCCACAAAGTTAATATATTGGTGTTATTGCAGTACTTAAAAAGAGAATTATTTTGATAAAGAATTTTTGGAATAAATTTTCTATTTTGATCATTGGGAATTTTTTTTGCAAGTGCATTCTACAATAATATAATCAGTTTTAAAATCAAATAAAAATTAGATGATAAATTATAAATTAAATACTTACTTGAAATTCATGATTTTTTTTCAAATCAAGACAAGGTTTGCAGGTAATTTTTTTTAAACAATTATCAATATATTTAGAACAATCATTGCTTCTAACACAAAATGTATTACTATCATTTATCCACAATGCTTTTTCATGCAAAGCATTATTTAAAATATCTTTTTCTGATTTATTTAAACAATTCCAAGTGAATTTTTTGTTAAATTTTCTGGGAAACGTTTCTTTTGCAACTAATTCTACATGAGGTGCACCACCAAAAGATGTTATTAAACCAATACATTTAAGATAATTCCTTGTTTCTTCATCAGTTAACCCTTCATAAATTTTTCTTTTGTTTGTTTTACTATCATTTTCTTTAAAAAAATTGGTAATTCCTAATAAACCATTATTATATTTACAGCCACCGCCTTTATTATGTCTTTCAAACAAATCAGGATCCCATTTCTTATCCAAACGAACATCTTTACCACACTTACATCTCATGGTTTTTGAATCAATTATTTTAATAACAAGAGGGTGTTCACTTAAATTTTCTTCTGTGTGCTTCATTATTTATTTATTGTATGATAATCATTGTATTACATGAAATTTTTTTTGAAAATCTACCTTAGTTTTATAGTATGTGACCAGAAAAGTTTTTAATAAATTTACCTCAAAAAAACATGAGATTAAAATTTTTTACCCTTTTTACATATGACCTTTTTTATTTTTACCTATGATTCACCTATGACCTACCTTTTAAAAAGACAGTTTTTTACCCACTTTTTTGCATATGACATCAATTATGATTATCCGTGGTCCTATATTAGTCAGGCACCTCGGTTACACGACAAGGTTTTTTTAAGATAAGATTTCCTTATTTTCTACCAATCATGGGGTTCTGGGTTGGGATTCGTGTAACAGAGGTAGGTGTGGTAAGAGTATTCTGGAAAATCTTTCTAATAAAGAGAAATGATTACTTAAATTAGAAAATTTTTAAATGGGGTATGCTGCAACAAAACCAGACAAAGTGAACATTGGTATTACCAAGGACTTCAGGGTTCAAAATTTAGTCATTTGTAATGTGATTATATAATTAACAGTTTTATGATATCCCATTTGTTACCTTAAGTGATATATAGAACCACCTCTATACAAAAATAATAATATGAAACTCATTTACATTAGGTCTACTATGGAACCAAAAAATTACAGCACCATTAGAAGTATTTTGAAGAAAGAACAAGGTGAGAAAATCGCTCCTTATATTTTCAAAATAAATGATACTCAGACACTGGAAGCTTATCTAAGAAAATAAAGGATTACTTATATTTTTATAAATTATTTATTTCTATTATTAGTTGAATTAAAATAAAAATCATTTCTTTTATTGTTTAATTCATTTGTCTGTAAAAAACAAATTGCAAGTCATGTGCCCATTAATTTATCATTGGTCCAAATTATTTATAGAAACAATTAATTGTAACAATTACAATCTAAATCAATAAAATAATTAATTTTAAAAATCCTTTTTTTATTTTAAATTAAAATGACTACTACGTTTGAAAAAATTGAACAACAATTGAACATTGCACTTGAAGAATACAGGAAGGCAGTGGAGAAGTTGGAAAAGTTCAAAGAAGGAGAGGATGATGTGCAGTGGCTGAAAATGCTGAGGAGAAAGACAAGAAGGAATGACATTAGTGAAGAGGAAAAGGAGGAGAAGAAAAAGAAGAAGAGAGGTTGAAGGAGGAGAAGAAGAATTGGGAAGAGCAGTATAGGAAATTGCAGGATGCATTACTAGAATTTGGAGAAAGAAAAGGTAACAAACAAATTGCGTATGGTGCAAATCACTTAGTCCCACAACTTTCTGCGCCACAGTGGCCAATTTTGAGAAAAAATTTCCAATCAAAAATGCAATAAAAAT